CCTGCTGAATTTGTAAAAATCCACCCCTTCCACAGAGCATCAGTTCCCAAAGAGCACAGAGAGCTCCTTTAGCCCCCGTGGGTGGGAATAGTAGTACAAAATGTTTTCCGCCACAGGAATGGAGTCCCCATGCGGGCAGATGGCCACCACATCCACCTGTCCCAGGATGGAAGCCTGATCATAAGCAACGTTCAAGAGGCTGATGAGGGATCCTACACGTGCAGCGCCTACAGCAGCAGCAGCTCGGTCAGTGCCAGCACGGAGGTGAAAGTGCTGAGGAGCAGGCCCAGCGGTGAGTACAGCCTGTCCTTCCCGCTTCTCCCAGCACAGTGCCAGCCTCTGGGCTGTGGTTATCGGTCTTCCCATTGCGTGTGCTCATCCACCGCTGTCCTCTGGCTTTGGGGAGCAGTAGGAGCCCCTGGGCTGTGCTACCTGTGGACCCCTGTTTTCCCTGGGCAGAGAAGAAGGACGGTTGGAAACATGCCCCCCACCAGGGTCCGGGAGCCTAATTAACTTCCTGAGGCCAAAATGCCATAGTTGGTTGACCAAACAGTTGGCTCCAAGTTTTGTGTTTGGACTCTGGACACCGTCCAGCTGGCTTTACAAAGGGTGTAGAGTGGTGTCTCCTCAGGAGATCCGCCCCAGAAGAGGCTGCCTTCTCCTCCCATATCTCACCAGCGGTGACAGTTTCTCTCCCATCCCAGATGTTGGGCTAAATTTGAAACAATCCCCTTAGAATTGGCAGGGTGGAGAAAGCAGGAACGTGCTTGTGTCTTTTGGGAGGGAAACGAGACCCGAGGATCAGCCCTGGCAGTGTATTTACTGCTGCTTCGCCTTTTGCTCGGCTGCAGCTACTGTGAATCACGTTGTGGACCCCAGCAGAGAGTGCGTGGACCAGCCGCACCTCGCCAACTGTGAGCTGATCCTGCAGGCCCAGCTCTGCCGCAGCGAATACTACTCCAGCTTCTGCTGCGCCAGCTGCTCGCGCCACCAACCGCAGGCCAGCCCGCCTCGTCACCGCGGGTGACGGACGCCTCCGCGGCCACGCGGAAGGTGACCGGTGACAAGACTGGAGGTCTGAACTCTTCTCGTTTTACTGCATGAAACTGTTCTGGGAGCTCTGCCCTGCTGGAAAGCCCGAGAGGGTGAATGGAACAGAGTGTAGTGGGTGTAACTGTTCAAAGGGTGGGAGACACACCACCCTCAAGTTTATTGCAAACTTCTTCCCCCCCCGCCATGCCTTGCTTAGCTAACCCGTCTCTTCACTTAAGGATAGTTGCTGTCATTCCCAGAACAAGATGGCACTGGGAACGTAAGGATGCTGCGAGACTAGAGAAGGCAGATAACCAGCATGAAAAAGGGAGCACGAGAGAGAAGCCCCCTTACAAAAAATCATCTCTGAAGCGTTTGAAGATGGGCCTGAACTGTCTTAACCAAAGCACTAATGAACAATGAACACTTGTAAGTCCTGGGGAGCACTTTCCATCTAAATGCAAAGGACTCTGGCCATAAGAAAAGGCTTGATGCATATAAAATTAGCGTTCAGGTCCTATGAGACCGCTAGCTCTAGCGATGCAGCTGTACTGCCACGTTACAGTAGCTGTTTCATTCCAGTAGACCTTAGACAAATTTCTAGCTGGATCAGTTTGGTTTCTACTTGACTGTAATCAGCTTTGGAGTGAAATGCAGAAGCAATGCTTCACAGAAAGCTTATGACAAAATAAAGGAATACTTTTAGCCCTTCCTGAATGTTAGGGATAATTTAGATGAATATACCAACACCGTTATCTGTTCTGAGATGTTGCAGTTTAAGTATCGCTCACCCTAGGAAGGCTCAGCAGATAATTTTACTCTTTTTCTGAGCCAGAACTGTGCTGTTGAATATTATTGCAAAGCTGGGCTTGGTGGTAGCATTGTGCTGGGTTTCAGCTTGGCGAATAATATACACCTAGAAATAAATGTAGGAGCATTTGACTTGCCAGAATAAACCTCCCAATGATCTGCTCTAGTCTGTTAACTCCAGGAAAGCCTGGCTCTGCATGTGGCCTGGGCTGAGTCCTGCTGCTATGGGCTAACAACATGCAGAGCAGCTGTAGCTGAAAGGCACCCTTCAGCTCAAGACTAACACTGAGTGGCAGCCACTGTGCGTGTGAGGCTCTGAAAGAGACATTTTCAGGCATTAAGGGATGTGTGCGGGGAGGTAAGATTATACAATCTGTTAAACCAGGAAAGACCCTTGGGTGTCTTTAGTTTCTCAAAATGGAATTACAACTTCTGAGCAAAAGCATTTTTCACAGCCTCCAAGGTATTGTTGTACCCTAGCATCAGCTCTAACAGTGCCCCTCTTCCTCATTTCAAACCCCTTGACTCCCTGCTGAGTGTTGGATGGGTTAATCATATTAATTAGCACTGTCACCCATTCATTATTTGCATAGATGTAGCAACAAACTAGTACACTTCTGTGTAGTGTTGATGGTTTGGTTGGGTGGAATGGAGGATTGGCTTCCCCCATACCCCCCACTTCTGTTACTTTAATTTCAGGCTTCTAGGGAAGGCGGCTAATTCAGGACTCTGCTCATACCACTCTCCTCTCCTTCAGTCCCGACTCCGTACTCAGGGCAGCAGTAATACATAGGTGTAAATCCCCAAGCTTGACAGCCTAAAGCTGGTTTGGATTCTAAATCCAGCAAATCAGTTCAGCTGCACCTAAAAATAAGAATTATTAAGCTAATGATTGTGCTCTCTTCAGCACAGGTATTGCGGATTTTCAGGATTGGACACACTGCTTTAAGATGTGAACAAACTGAAAAGTCTAGAAGCTATCCAGTAAAGGAGCGAGACATGACAGTTACCAGCTATTTGGGCATGGGTCTTTCTGTGGTCTGGTAGATTCTGCTTGCTAGAAAAGACAAAAATACTTATTTTTGCAGTTAAGATGCTTTAATTTGATTCGGGGAAACTTCCTCTGCTGTAATTCATGGTAGATGTCACAGTGTAAGTTTTGATGTTGCCATCATTGGCTATTTAAGAACAATGAGAGGGTCCTGAGAACTTCTAATTGTGTTTGTACATAATTTTGCATTTGACATCTCAGGCTGGCACCTTTATTTGGGGGGGGGAGGGGCGGGGATGATAGTTCAGTGTGTAGCATGACTTTGCCTGTTGAGACCAGGGATTAATCACAGACTGTGTAAATTCCAGTCTTAGTGAAGCCCTCTCGGTTCGCATGTGGTAGGCATAGAGGGTAAAGACCTGTGGACCTGCTCAGGAGTACGGTTAAAAGTTGATTGCGGTTGTACCAGACCCTTTTGTGCCAGAATAAGCAATCAGTTCTATACTACCCCTTTCTACTCTGTCAGAGGCTCTTTTTTAGAATATTTAAATAGTTTGTATAGGCAGCTTTCATTTCAGCTGTATGGTTATACAAGAAGGGGCCAGGGAGCACTTTCTCAAGCCTCATGAGGGCTGTAACAGCCACCTGGATTCTGATGGGCAGGACTTTAACATTGATGGTGCTTCGGTTAAGGGAGTGTTTATTCTGACCTCCTTTCAGCGGCACAACCACAGTAGCAAGGATAGTAGTTGAAGGCATGCAGTTCACTGCTTTTAAGTACCTGTCATCCCTGTAATAGTTAACTAAAGGGTCTTTTTACATTTCTATTTGGCAAGCTGAGCTTTCCCTCTCTATATAGTACCACTTAGCTGCCTAACTGGATGTTTACTTTTTTGATTTGAGGGTCAAGATGTTTGTTTTTTTCCCTAAACAATGGATTGTAGGAAGGTCATATCTCCTTTACCGTTATCTCCAGGGCAGGGGAAGGGTGTAGCTATACTGGGCTATTTTCAGCTGATCTTTGGGCACTGCTGTGAAAGATATGGAACTAATAGGAAAGCAAGCATGTATGCCTTATTCTCTTATAAATGTCTACAAATATTTGCTTACTTTTTGAAAGCTGAAAAAAGCATTGGTACCAATTCAAATACCATAGGGAATGTTGGGCATTACTATTCATACCATACTGAAAACAGGTAAGAATCTGTCAAGAAAAAAAAAAGCGCCCTGGTTCTCCAGACCATAACACTGTGAGACTCACTGTGCTTGCCTGGAAATGGAAACTGCTGGAAACCTAGGGCCAAACAAAGGGAGCATTTCTTCCCCTTCAGCTCACAAAGTCTGACTTGTCCTTATGTCTAAATCTAGGTGGTGCACACAAGAATGCAGCAAGAAACAGTCATACTAACAGGGTAGGTATCAACTTACTGGGAGACCAGAAGAGGAGTGAAAAATGCACTGTCTGCTCATGTGGCTTTTCAGTCCTTTTAGTAGTAGGGGAAAGAAAACCAAGTGAGTTTTCCTTTCTGAATGTTAGTGTCTTCGTATTTGTCTCTACGTAAACACCCAATGATAGAGAATACAGTGATACAAACTCAGCATCTGATGTTTTCAGTAAAGCCCACCATTTCAGAGCTTTAAATAGTTACAGGTCGCAAGTTCAGGCTTAAAGCTCAAGGTAACCTAACCTGGTGTACAAAATGAGGGGTGTTAAGACACCAATACTAAACTTCCAGGTTGGCAAGCCCGGTTTATCATCTACATTCACCTAACAACACAGAAGCTACCCAGAAGGGCAGATCCTGAAAATTGAAGGGGCAGGTGGGAAATAAAGCTTTCACAGACAGCACTTCTACCACCAACATTTATTTCTGTTAAAGCAGATTATAAATCATCAGTACAAATATATATAACTTACATTTGCTTGTAAGGCCAAAGTTTAAAAGTAAAGTTAAAATGAGATGGTTTTCACGAGTCACCAGAGGCAGAACCTGGACCAGCTGCAGCCTTAACCACAAGGTTTCACAAATCAGTGGAAAAAAAATAAAACCAAAGTTAAAAACCTCTAAGATCTATTGACAGACAAACATAAAATGGTTTCCCAGGTAGTCCCAGGACGTAGATATGATTACAGTAAGTTGTCACAGTAGTGTTAGAACCAATAGATTAAGACAAAGAAACTGCAGCAATACATGAAAGGAAAAAACTCATACTATATATAATATGTAGCTTGATTCCGATAAAAACCAGTAAATTTTCCCCATGGTTTTCAAACCATGACAATACTGTTCTTTAATTTTCTTTATTTAAAACTACGATATAGTGACTTATTGGTTGTGATTGTTGTTGCAATATGTTACTTACAATGAACAGATACAAGAACAAGCTAGAGCCCCTTCTTCCACCCCACCCCCCAATATTACTTACAATAAGAATCAGAGATAAATCAATCTTATGTACAATTTCTTACATCCAACCCCCCCCTTTTTTTAACCTTTGGCAAGATTACTTACAACTCATACAGCTTTTAATATCCAACTATTTAAAATATTCTAAATGCATAAAAATAAAGATTTTGGCTTTACTTTATTCTTTACATATAATATTCACTGTGTTACTCAAAATGGAAGCTCAACTTTTCCCACAAACCTAGCTTTTTGCTAAGCAGGTGACAGTCTCCCACCCATATCCACCCCCCACTCCAGGACTCACAGGGCATCAGAAGGACACAAGTACAAAATCTGCCTCCCTTTCTGTGAGATCATTGATGTTGCTGCGGAACAGGCTTCGGGGCTGGGTGCCTGCCTCTGCTCTGTTTGACTTCCAGCTTTCCAAGTGAGGAGGGAATGCAGACTGGGGTGGCTCCAGGATTCCTTTTAAGAACTGCACATTAATTTCTCTGTGTGTTTATAGCCTCCCCATAATTGCTTCCTCTTTCTAACTCATTTTTGTTTTGAAGGGACCTTTGGGATTATCAAAGCAAACTGATCAGAAGCAGTCCCCTCTTCTCCCTTTATCCCTCTATTCTAATGTACAATTTATCCACCCCCCATAGGACTGCTTAAAGTTCAATCTCAAATGTCTTCTGTAAATCACTTGAGAAGGGGTTAGTTGGAGAGGGATTAGTGCGCTGCTTTGCCTTGCTCTCTAGTGCTGCCCACTGTGCTTCAAATGGGTCTACCTGCGGAGCAGCTGCAGGAGGCTGCGAATGCTTGTCCTCTGCAGCCCATTTGCCACTGTCGACTCCGTTGAAAGCTGCAGAGCCGTTGTGCTGCGCAGGTGGAGTGAAGAAAGGGCTGGTCGTAGCACTGTTGCTTTCATACTGAGGGAATGTCTGCTGTTTGACGAGACTGGGTGACTGATGCGGATGGGCTGCTGGAGTGTGGCTTGCGGTGCCAAAGACGTTGGCTACCATCTGGGAAGGTGTGATTCCAACCACAGGTACGCTTGGGGCTGCATAGGTCATCCCGTTTGCTACAGCATAGGGCTGAGCTGGAATAAATGCTGGCTGCATGGGTGGTACCACACCCACCGGCACAGGCTGAGGCGCAATGAAGGTGCTGACTGGGAAGGCTGGTGCTGACTGGGAAGCTGCTGGAGGAGGCTGTAATAGTGGCTGTGGGGCTGGGGCTGGGGTTGGGGTTGGCTGCTGTTGGGCTCTTACAGTCTTTGAGACCTCTTCCAACCAGCGGTCTGCCTCTGAGGGAGTACGTCTGTGATTTCCCTGGAACAGACTTGGTGAGGCTGCACCTGAGGAGGTGCTGCTCCATTCGGTGCCTGGGAAGGAAAGCATGGGGAAGCCATTAATATTTCCACTCATCACCCTTTTGTCGGTTAGGAAGGCTGGAGGATATACGCAAGAACAGACAGGCCTGCTCCCTCCACCGTTGAAAGACTGCTACCAGCACTAGAAGCATCTTTATGCATCCACTATACTTCTGTTATAGGAAGACATTGGTCAAGAAGGGGTAGAGAAGAGTTTCTTCACTAAAATGTTTTCTTTTCATTCATAGCAGATCTCTGAGACTTTAGGGCATTCTGGAGAGCTGCTGCCTGCACTTATAACTTAGTGGCAATGATCTCGTCTATAACCACTAATTCCTCTAACTGGGGAGTAGCAGTTTCTGAATGTGCAACTCAGGACTGGTGGAATGTTAGAAGACAAAGCTATAAAAAGCTGTTTTTAAGACTCATTTGCTCTGTTTCCTAAATTAAGGCTTTACCCTCTAAAGGACAGTAACGTAATGGTACTGGGAGTTCAAGACAACATTCATTTTTCTGTCCCATAAACACTTAAGTGAAGTGTGAATATTCACTATGATACACAGGAACATTTAAGGCAATACATCTAATCAAATTACTATATGATATGTAAACTGGACTTACTATTGAATCCTTTACATTCTTCCATCTCCACTCAGTCTTCCCTTACTCTTTTCATATATAACTCAGGCTGTTAACCTCTCAAACTCTTTTGCAATGTTCAACACTTAGCGTTTTAGACTTTTATTCTATAAAACCAGCTCTGATTTTAACACATTTATCTTATCTTCAATGATTTAAAAAAAAAAAAAAAAATCCAAAACCACCATCATTTCCATTCCTCCCCTAGTTTCAAAACTGTCTCCTGACAGCTGAATTCTTGTTTTCCTTCTCCCTACATTTTCAAATTCTCTTTGCCTCCCATAGGGCCTTGCCAGGTTTCCAACGTGATGAGCAAAGCAACCAGGAATGCTAGAGCTGGCTCTGCAGTTCATGTGTTTCATTTGACATTTTGGAGAAGTGGAAAACCGTTACTGCTCAATAGTCTTCATTCAGCCTGATCTAGTTAAACACTAGCTAAAGATCAGTTTACTGTTGTCTTTACAATGGGAACTGTTGGAGGCAGAGCTTAGAGACCCTCTCTTATGGGGGAAGACTTACTGAAAATGGCTGTTACTCTTACAAGGCCAAGCAGAACCTACTATTTCACTAGCAAAGTGAAAATAGTTAGTAAGGAAGTGTAGTAATAGTGTAAGCTCACTCTTTTTGAATTGAGCTTACACCAGGAAATTATGTTAGTTTGATTGTAGCCTTCTAACATACATGTCCACACAAGTGACAGCTATTTAAAGTACCACCTTACCTTATATGTAACTATAGACAAGGACTGGAGGGACAGATTAAACTTACTAAATAGAAGAAATAAACCTCTAAAGCCTTTAAACAACCAACTTAATCTCTCCTTATATACGTTAGTGGAAAAAACACACAAAAAATTATTTTGGGTAGACATACAGGTTCTTTCCCCTTCACCCCCAAACACACAATATTTCATTACTTCCTCTTTAAGCACTGGATTTTCTAAAATGCTGCTAAAAGAAGAATCAGTCCAGCTTATAGACCCAGAACCAGTGAGTTCATCGTTTCCCTCCATCCACTTGTGCAAAAGGCTACTACTTCCGGCTTTTGTTAGCGTTCCTTCCACTTGCCATTAAGTGGCATTGACAATTGTCTCAAGGGCTCAATTATGCTTTTGATCCAAGTTCTCATAGCAACGCACCAGATCTACTTCCAATCTTACCAGCGACCATGGCTGCAGCTCCAGTATTAGCAGCAGGAGCATGAGCCCAAGGATTGGTTTCACGAACTGGCATAGCAGTGGACACTACAGCAGCTTGGGATGGTTTAGCAGCAAGCACACAGAAGGCAGAGGCAGTGCCATTAACTAAAATGGGAGCAGACAACATCAGTGCAATTAATTCATGCAAGGCATGCACGTGACTGGAACGTTAGTGGGCAATGTCATACCTATCAACATACAACAATATTAGACCCTTCCACATGACAGCAGTTTGTGTAAACTAGCCAAATTGGACTGAAGTCAATAAAGCTAGTAAAATCCTTTTCACCAAGCCAACGTTTGTTAACAGAATTGTGGGATGGTGGATTTTACGTACCCGATGAGCTCTTGAGTTCTGATAACCAACGGAAGTTAAACTTGTTGTTTTTGTAAAGAAGAGATATAGCTCACCAGAAGTTACTGTATGATTAATTTAGATTCAAAGAGGAACAGATTTTAGATGCAAACTAACAATAACTACATTTAACAAGGAGAGGTTCTTTTTTCACACAACTTGTATAAAAGCATATCAGTGAAATGAAGATTAGAGGCTGCTATGAGTTCTATAGTTGGCATCTCTCCACAACTTATCTAAGAGTTTGTGTGAAAAACAGTAATCATGTGGTGACACAAAATCTCTTCCCTTGTGGGATTTGGTTCCTGTGACACACAGTCATTAAGGTTTTTGCAGTTCAGGAGGCAGAATGTTAAAACAGCCATTAACTCAAAGCCAGTCCCTTTTACAGGTAACTATCGTGTGGTAGGTGCATGAACTTCTTGTTAAAAACAAACACACAGAAAAACTAAACAGACAAGATAAATAAAGCAGGATGCATTCCCCCAAAATACTGGTAACAGGACTTGCACAAGAAATTAAGACCATGTGTTACTGGAAAGCAACATTATGTGCATTCAAGCCTCATCCAGCATGACCACAGCACGCAAAGAAATCACCAACCTTGAAAGGCAGGAGACTGTGGTGCGACTACTGTCACTGGTTTTGTCATGGGGGCTGAAGAGAAAGGATCTTCTGACGGTGTGCTGAAAGCACTGGTGATCTGCGAGCACAGGGCACTAATGCTGTCCGTTTCCCCTTCTACCTCAGGGACTAAAATGTAAACAAAATGAATTAAACTGGAAGTTTAAAGGATACCAGAAACAGTTTACAAATACTAATGTGAAATGGAAATATAATTAGTTCCCTTACATCCTAGATGTTCCTGCTACTGATCTGCATGACAGCTTTTTTTTTTTTAAATCAGTGTTGAAGTCCTGATCTGAGATAGAATGCCACGTTAGTGTATTTTGTGACTAAGACAAGAGGGTAAGGAGGTGAATGTTCCAGATTTCAAGTCAGTTATTACTGCTGCTCTGTGTTAAGGCAAGAGGATGTCCATTTCAGAAAATAAAAGGGGTTTCTATAGCTTTAGTAGAGATCTAAATCTTTCAATATTAAAGTGCTAAACATCTCAAGGATTTGGCACTAAGATTTATCACTCCGTGAAATTAAAATACTTATGATAGATTTAAGTGTTCCAACAACATACTTCCACAGTAACTGGATGAAGTTTAAATGTGCTGACAGCAATGTGCAGTGGCAAGTTAGGTCTGGAGTTAGAACATTGATTGTTCCAGTTCAGCGGTAGCTGAAATCCCTAGCTTCTGTGGTAGAATTATGAAAAGCAAAAGCTGAATGCTCTAATAAAATGGACACTCAGTTTTAAACCAAGTATCAGCATAATGTGGATAAAGTAACATCTGGAGTAAAACTGTTGACTTACCAGATGTTCTCATTATTACTAATTGCTCTGCTTTTCGAAAGTACTGATCATCAGTCCTTCGTTGCACAGAACTGACATAAGCAGGCATAATTAAGCACAAATAAATAATATTGGAAAAAAATAAGATGTCTGGACACAACATGCACCATATTTAAAATTCAGGGGGAGGCATGCCCAAAAACTGAGTCTTTGAGGGATATTCCAATACAGCACGTGTGGTGTGACAGTAAGCAGCACTGGCAGCAGCATACATGGGAACATGCGTCAGAAATGTTATGAATCATTAAAAACTCAGATTATAGTGTGCTCAGTGAGCATCACCAGTAAGCAGTGCACTATTACTGTAAACGTGATAAACTCAGTACCGGTCTTAAAGCACAAGTCACCAAATAAGGATTAGAAGAGAAGTCAGGCTAAGTATTTTTGTTGGTTTTGCCTTTGCCACAGTAATTTTTACTTTAAAGCTTAGAACTTTAAAACTAGTTCTGTTGCCAAGTGAGAGTACAGCTGGCCTGCAAGAGAGCCTAGCTAAGGGGTTTCTAGGACATTAGGTACAGAGCACTCCAGGTGTTTATGTTGGGGTGACTCTAGAAAACCCCACTACCAGAAAGTAGATACAAGAAAACTGTATCACCCATTACTGATACAGCCAGCTGAGCCACCTAAACAGTAAAGTTTCTTTTAATGCAAGGTGAAAATCCATTTCATTGCTCTTAAAAAGAATAATTCTGACAGGCAGAAGGACAGACTGCAGAAAAGCATCACATGATCCCATGACAAGTGGTTAAGGCCTTAAAGGGATTTGTCTCTCAAGATGCCTTGGCATTAAGCAGAGGAACTGGTTCAGTGACTCAGAGGGAAGAGCCAGCACCTACTGATTCACCAACACCCATTCCTGGAGCACTTCAAGCTGTGCTCCAATATTTCAGGTAGCAATTAGAACCGTTTGCCTTCTGTGTGTGAATACCACATTTGAAATTCCTGCCTATTCCCAAAGGAGAAGTTTTCTGACATGGTGATGTTTATTCATGAGAAATGATACACATGAGGCAGGAAGAAGAATTTGCTAGAAAGCAAAGAGTTATTTGAAGTCATAGAGAAGGAAAGGAGGAAGAGACAATTTAAGCTAATGTTTCACCGGAACTATATTGGTTTTACCTGAGTTTTTCATGGGGAAATCGGTCTTCCTTTGCACTGTTGAAGGCAGCTCATTTATTCGCAAAGACAACTGGCGTTTAAAAGGAGACATCTTTTGGCTAAGGGCAGGGAAGCCCCTGAAAGACCCTTGCCTGGCAAGCTGTTCTATAGGGGCATGCCTCCGTGGAATAGCGTGGGGATTGCTCATTTCTTTATCCAGAGAGGCAGCAGCTTCAGCAGTAGGAGAGGTTGGTGAGCCAGAAGAGGGGGCAGTATTGTTTGGTGCAGCACCTGCTGCTACTGTTTTCACTTCTGTTTCAACTGCTGGAGGAAACAGGGTGAGGTTAGAAGAGTAACGCAAAGTAGTGTTCAACTGCCTGCCCCTACTCCCATTTGTTTTCAAAATGCAAATTCCTGCAATTTCTCTAACTAGTACTCTTCCAACATGTTACTAACATCATAGCAGAAAAATAATTTCTGTGTACCTTCACTGTCTTCACCATGTCACATTACATCCAAGTCTCCAAAGCAAAGCTTACTAAGGCTAGCCACTTCATGGAAATGATGGCCTTATGTATCCATTCTCTCTAGCTATTCCTGAGACTGCAGCTCTAGAAATACCTGCAATTCCTTTATGATTAAGACTGAAAAGTATACTGTGTGTTTGAGACCTTTACTTTGCCTCACAGAGAACTATGGCCAAAATATTACTACAAACTATGTTAAGTTACTTAGGATGGCTTAGCTCAGCAGCAGCAGGGAACAGAACTAGGACCTTCTTTTAAAGGCCACCCTCCTACCCCTGCAGAATCAGCAGCAGCAGCCAAACACCCTGCACAAGCTTCAGCCAGCCAAAGGCAGCAGCAGCACTTAACAGGGTGGGCTGCATTCAGCGCTCAGGCTGCAGCTCCCCAGCTCCTCCAGGAAATACATTACAGATAGATGGAAGCGTGCTGCAAAGCAGATCCAGCCTCTGAGCTGACAGGCCTTGCTAACACCAGCCGCATTTACAGGGAGTTCCCGTGTCACTTTCCCTGAATTTATCTGTATGTTACCACCCGGTCACTAGTTAGTGGCTCTGGAAGCTCCTCCAACTTAAAGTCAGCTGCTTCATTTTGCAGGGTTCTGCAGAGCACCACAGTGCTTCTGTGAACCAGGCCTAATGGCAGAAATGTAGGATTAAGCTTAGTGTAAATCGTGACACCTGTGATTAGAACAGCAATGGGGATTTTTCCATCTCTAGGAAAACTCAGGGAATTGGCTTTGGGGGTAATAAACACAGCTCATCAACACAGCAGGAAAAGGGATTTCAAATCTCACTGTCCTGGTGTGAACTCTTATTTTACCTATATTGCTTTCCAAGTGTTTTAGGAAAAACAATGACTTTTTTTGCTGACACATCAACAGAATAACTAGAAGTCTGGTAAAAAGGAGTCACACTAGAGATTTCTGAGGAGCTGGAATGGTAGGAGGAACTAATTATGTTGTCTTGCAAGCTTCAGTACCCATGAGTTGCAGCTGCTCATTCAAGTGAAACTTTTCTAATCAGTCTTTCTTGGAAAGGATTTCACACACCTTCATTGAGTCAAGAGTTTGACTCATGCTCTCAAGTAACAAAGGCCTTGTGTTTAAGCTTCATTTAGCACATTCTAAAACTAACACATGGGAACAAGCAGATGGACGATGAAAATGAAGATTAAAAGTTTTGCAATTGAGTGGCAGCATAAAACTTGCTGTGAAACCCTCAAACAAAAGTTTAACTCCACTGTAAAGAGGGCTACAGGCAATATTTATAATAATTTTTTGTTAGCTGTAGAACTCCACCACCTGTGGTAGAACTTGGGTAAGAAGTTCTACTTTCACTTGAATTTGAGAACACTTTAAATGACATTTTAAGTGGCTAAAATAAAAACTAACTCCTCTCAAATCAGTTAGTTACTAGTTTTGAATGTAATTAACAGTGCAAAAGTTACGTGTTTTATGGGGAGGGGGTTGTTTTGGTTTAGTTGTTTTAGAAAGCACACTGTGATTGACCTGTTCTTCCCTCATGCAACAGAACTCTGTACATACACTTTGTAACCTGCCTTAAAAATAAAGCCACATTATTTTCTAAGAAAAATGTGTATAATTTTCTGTTCGTTTACCATAAGCTTTAGGCTACAAAAAGGATTACTTCATGTCTGGCAAACCTGTTATATTTTTATAACATTTTTCTAATAAGTATATTAGAAATTTAGTAAGGTACCTATGGTGTTCTCTGCCATAAAGCAGGCTGACAACACAAAGCAGAAGCAGCTTTTGCAAATGAAGCCACTTGTACTTTTTCTAGAGGAGATGTGGGAAAATGCACCATGAGTGAATCTGGGAGCATTTTTCACCTTGTGAAGTGACAAACGTCTGGGAATATGATTTGTACAGAAGAGAGGGAATGTTGCAAGGATGTTAAGGCTCAATCCTTGCACAGGCTCCAATTCACCTCAGTGCTGATTTTGCTCGCTACGGATGATTGTGCAAGTTGCACCCCATACCTTTAGCATCCGGCATCTGTCTCATAATTTCCTCTCTCTCTGCTTGTTCAGTAGCTGTAGTGACCCTGAATGACCCCTCTCTAGTGAATGTGGTTCTGCTGGCATCAAAGGTGGCAGTCACTCCGCACTCCTTCTCTCGCTTCTGCTTTCGCTCCAGGCATGCTGCAAATGCACAGCCCACGGCATGACTCAACCTTTCCCCCTGTATAAGACAACATTGCGTCATACAGTAACTGGAACAGAAACATACGTGTGCTTCAAGCATTGCAAAGTGATAACCTGCCTTTACAAAAGGAATCTAATTAAGGCATTAAAAAGAACTGCTGTAATTGGCCACCTTTTGTATGGCTCTAAAATTAAACCTGATATATAAAGACTCCCACCTACTAATGCACAGGCAGTGTTCAAGAAGGCCACCCAGAAATGAAAGAGATTGTTGGATGATCTATTTAGTTCAACTGCTACTAAGATGCTAGTGCGATAACGTGCCTGCACGGATCCCTTGCCTCTGGGTACATTTGTGCACAAAGAAACTCTTGTGAAGCCATCTTAAGCAGGTGTAAGTTCTGAAGGACAGGTAAGTGCTATTCTCAGATGGAGAAAGTTTAGAGGGGGCTCAGGGAGACACTACTGTTGTGTGCAAGCATGAAAATTAAAAGTACAATGGTGACTACTTACACCTCTTAATGGCCCTGACCAAATGCACAAGTTAGTATTAAGAGTGCCTTCTGAAAAGCACTTCCATTATCAACCAGTGAGGTCAAAAGGATCCACTGTCCAATAACTGCAATAAGGAAAGGAAATTCAAGTTGGAGGAAGTCCAGCAATCCAGCTCATACAGTGGCTACAGTTGAGTCAGAGGCACTATTACCACCAGTAGCTCAACTCATCTGTTATCACCAGTAAGTGAATTCACCTGTTATTCACAGGTGAAAATAGAAATGCTCCAGCTCTAACATAAGTTTAACTGGGGAATTTTTAACTTCACTGTTTCTCTTTAGAGAAAAAAGATAAATTGTCAAGTACAATTGCTCTGAACATGCAGCTATGTGGAGTTCACGCAATGAATTTGCAGGAGGTTTCAAGCACTTTGTACAATATAGGCAGGATTCAACAAAAAGCAGAAAGAGGAAAAGGCCAGATCAGGGAGTTAAATAAATAACTTAAGTCTACACAGCAAGAGACTGATAGAGGTAACTTACTTTCAAACCTTCTACTGGAAAAAATTCTATCACTTGGAAGCAAACAGGCTGCTAATTTAATTCAGTTTAGCTCCATCCCTTAACATTCAAATGACTTTCCACCATTCAAGATAACATTCGCATACAAGAGGCTGCATTCATAACCAGTCTGTATTTACTCACTATGATTTTATCCTGGAAAAACTGTCATTGCTGTTTCAGTTTTTGGCTGTATACATTTTCAGATGAGAATATCTTCTGTCTATTTTTAGAAGAGTAGTTCCCTTCTGCTAGAGATATCTGAGGCTGACTGCATTCCATTTATACACATGCTGGGCAACGTTTCTCTCCACAAGACGACACCACAGAGAGATGGCAAATAATTCAGATATAAAGAATTAGAACTAAAATAATTTTCAAGGACTAAGTACTATTTTAGCTGAAGTCAAAACATATTGCAGTATTCTAGGTAGTTAATTTTTCCAAGCATAACTTCCAGACAGAAGCTGGAAAAGTTGGACACACACCATATTAAACTTACCGTGTCCTTTACGGCCATAAAGCAGTGGCATATCCAGCGCCTCGTCGTGCCATCTCGACAGATGTATGAGAATGCCCGGTCAAAGTTCCTGTCTGGTGCGCAGAAAGAAACTTTCTCTATTGTCTGATCAACAATAAGATCCTAGAGGGAAAAAAAAAATCCCCCCACACAATAAAAGACGTGAGGAAGTAGGGAGAAACACTTGAACAAGTAATTTTCAGTGTTAAATGCAAGAAGATGAGTTATACTAAAAAGAGGATAACCTGATGTGGCTATAATTATCTGTCAACAAATTCACAACTCAGAATCTATTCCCAGTATGAAACAAAAAGGACAGATGACATTTTTCACCAGCTACTTTTGGTATAATTGTGCCAAGGCACCACTTAAGAATGTAGGGTCCCAAACATTTCCTAAGATCTCTCATCTAGACTATGGAGCTCACTCCCCCGCCCCCCCCAGCAGCCTCAGTAATCTTGCAGTCAAAGAACCTTTACTGTGGTTAAAACACAACTCTGAAACTTATGGGAGAGGTCTGCAAGTGTGAAAACGTCTCACAGCTGCTACACAAAAAGCAAAAGCTGATCTGTCAATTAGCTAAGCACGGATGCAATGGAAAAGCACCAGCACCACTGGTGTTTGATAAACACCCCTGATTTGTTCCCACAGATTGATGGGGAAGTGTTTCTAAAAAGGACATAGCATAGTTCTTAAACTATACTATCTGCATTCAAAATTACGTTTTCAATATTTTTTTCAAAATTGTTTCTTCTGGTTGGTACTTGGCACCTGTGCTCATGTATTCAACCACCAGGAGGCAACAGCATATTCTCTTTTTAAGTCCTATACTTTTAATTTCCTCCAGAGTCTGCACAATGTATTAAAATTCAATTTTAAAAGATTAGCTATATGCAGTAACATTTCTAAAAATAATACATGTATTATTTTTTTTAAATGAAGCAATCAGTAGACTGAATTCACCTACATCAGTATGTTTGTATTAGAAACGAATTCTTAAGAGACAGAAGCTTTAGTACGGATGAACCATACCATAACAGCACCCCTGGAGAAGTCTAGCCACAGGGCAAGTATTTGACAGGCAGTCATACTGCAGAGGCATATGAATTCTCTCTACCTGCTTCTCAATGTTGGCTTGCAGAAATCATCTTTTAGGTTGACAAAGTAAGGGTTAAATGACATGAATATAATACGAATTTATTTCAAACTAATGAGAGTAAAAATTGTTCCAACAGCCATGCCATCTTTTAAAATACTAGTACACTTATAGAGGCAAGCCTAAAGCTCTTATCTCTAATTGCCTACATTTAGGTAGAACCAAGAATTGTTTGCTATTACTTGCACACAGGCGTCTTGGTAGTACATATTGTGCTATTTCAAAATTGTAAAACAATCTAGAAGGATGCCACAAATACATTATTCTTCCACTTTGGACCAACAGCTTAGATATTAGAATTAGAAATTACTGAATTTGATACTCAGTTACTATTTAGCTTGAGTCTGAAAGCACAACCCCCTTATTTCATTTACTCTCTTCATTGCATTTTTAGAAGCTAGCTCTTGTTCATTCATACCCACTGTAGGATTTGGAAGCACTGAAAATTACATTGATTAACATGAGTTCGCTCATGTATTACTATGGCAGCCTTCTGCAGCGGTGCAGAACAAAGTCAAGAGACTCGCCAAGTTCAGTGTCAACAGAATTTAACAGGGGAAAAAAAGGGTAAATACAACAAAAAAAATTCCAAGCTTGTGCTATCTGCCACATTTTATGAAATGTGTCTTGAGAGAAGTGTGGCATTAACTGGGGAAAAAAAAATTAGCAGGCATATATCTATGTAGAAAGCAAGAAATGATTAAACTAATTATACACTTTAGTCTTCCTTTCAAATACCAACACTTGCATTAACATAAAGATTGGTGTCTATTTAAAGTTATAGCACATACATTATTATAGAGAGATTTAAAACTTTTGTCCAGGGAAATCTGACCTTTGTTTTCTCATCTACAACTCTGAGTCCATCCGCCGAAACCCACAGGACTGCTTTAACAGCTTTCTTCCCAGACTTTCAGAAAAAGAAAAAAAAAAAAAAGGGGGGAAAGAAAAAAACCACAGTTTTACGCCAACAGCTTCAGACTGCCACCCGCTTCCCCTTTCCAAGAACCGTAACATTAAGTGCAGGTGAAGTCCACGGTCAGTAGGGTGCCCAAAGCCAGATACTCAATCCAAGTTGCAAAACATTCAGAGAACCAAGCCAAAGCCAGTATTTCAGAAACAGCACATCGTGGGGATGGGGAGAGGGCACAGGACAGGTGGGGGTGAAAATAGGGTGTACGTCCACTGACAGTAGAGAATTCAAGACTGACCAAGTGGGTGAAGAATTCCACTACAGAGTCAGAAAACACTAATTCATAAGGAGTTACACCACAGGTAGCTGCTTTAGCACAAGTTTAAACATAGGAAAATTCTTACCTGATATTTCCACCAGCCCTACCCTCTGCCCCAATAGTCGCATGGCAGAATCATGGCATCACCTTAAACCAGTGTTAAAAGCACCCAAAAAATCATCAGTTACTGTCTTATAAGCTTAATGCTAACATCAATCATCCAAACATGTTTCACTAACTCTTTAAGAGCTAAATGTCACATCTTGGAAGAGAGGTAGAAAAATATGATTTCTTAACCATTTGGTGTGTATCTTGAAAAAGCAATAGTGTGTGGCAGGCTGACGCAGCAGAGGAGTGGTCTGGCTTTTATCCAAAACCTGACTGTGGGAACTTTCAGCTGCCACAGGCTGAGGGTAAGTAAAAGTGGGAAACACAGGAAGGCTTCAGGAGCCATCTAAACTACGGATTCTTTCTGGACTGTTTACTTTTTAAGGGAAAGTTACAGAAAACAGTATAAACACTTGACACAATATTCTTCTGAAACTAATTCACTGAGCAGAAGATAGGTACAAGATGTCAACATAATTTCACTGGTTGTTACACAGAACTACTACTAGAAAAATAATCTTTTTTTTTTTTTTAACGTGTTACTTTAATTCACAAGCCCCATACTTTAAGCCAGATAATAAACTATTCCCTCTATAACTTTTTTTGAAGCACTGGGTTTACATAGTTTGTGGCTGCTAATGACACCCACCACGGAGCACTGCAGGGAGTGAAGACAGCAACAACAACAAAAGATGAGGGGGTATCAGCTAATGGCTTCAGAATTGCAGTTTATTTAATTTTTTTAATAGTTCATTGCAGATGTATATAATTTATATTTATATGGCAAGTAATGGAACAAGGACACATTCTGGCATAAGCTACCACATGTTCAAAGTCTGCAACGCTGATTTTAACACTGTAAGGATGAAATATCTTGAAGTGAAAAGTCTCCTGTTACATCACATCGGTTTCACCCTCAGAGAAAGCAGCAAGTGTGAAGAAAACAGGCCTGGCAGGACTTCTGCTTGTTTCTGGGGAGGAACTATCTGACCCGATTTCAGAAGCGGCAATGACAACCCGAGCATTTTCAAAAAGCTTGGTGAGAACTGGGAATGGCACTGACTTGTATGGAAGAGCGATTAAAAGAGAAGAAGAGAGAAAATAAGCACAGTATGAAAGCAAGCTACAGAGAAGTGCTTGCAGAAGCAACTTTCTAAATGTCCATCTAGCCTGCTGGATACCCCAGAGAAGGTTTAAAGTAAAACTGTCAGATTCTGGAATGCCTAACAGAAAAAATATACTTCACGGAGGAAGTTGTACTTAAATTTACCATCATGTGTGTTAAAAATATTGCAGCATTTAAAAGTCACTTCTAATTTTGGGTCTTAAAAGGCAGTAAATATTGATGCCACAAAATATAGCTTGTATTTTCAATGCTCAGCTAGCTTCCATAGGCTAAAAGTCCTTATTAATCCCCAAAACAAATTGTTTGTAGATGTCTGTCTCCTTGAACTGTTTTAAAAAGGAGTACCAGTTTCTTATAGATTTTAAGACTACGAACAGCTTATATTTCAAGCAAATACAAACAATCAAGAGAAGACAATGCCTGCAAGGTAACTGTGCGGTTTAGATTACCACCATTTGAAACTGAGATACATGTCTTTCCACAGCAAACAATAAAAACCTTGTTTCTGCAGAAATAGTGAACAGTTCCTGAAGTTTGTATTAAACAAATCAAGTTTAACTAAGCTGGGAACTTCATAAAGCAGTACTGATCTTCAGCAGAGCTACTCCTCACCTGCTGTTTTACCAAATGAGGATTTAGAAGTAGCTAAGACATGGAACTTCATGTTTCTCAGCATAAAATGAAAAGGCTAAAGGGCTGTCAAGTCCTCCTCTCCCACTGGAAACATAAGGTTCCTCATGCGAGATAACCAAACATGGGTTTGCGATGCTAAGAGAAAAAGAAAACACACTTTTATCTCCCAATTCCTTCTTCTAGATTTATAGTGGATACAGTGCTTAGAAGGGGTAAGTCCTATAACCCAAACCCACAGCTACTACTGTTGGGCAACATACGATTTTCCCATCTACTGATGGGATCTCAGCTTATCTGTGCCTACAGGTGATGTATAAAGGAACATAATTCTCTCAAAATCAGTTTATATTGGCTATACAAATCAGAGTACGACTCTATTATGGGTGGGATATTGCCAAGTATATCATGATTAGAAAGTAAATATGAGCCTTTGCACTCCTAGCAAACGCTGGACAAAGACCAGACCAGATGCAAGATACTGCATGGGAAGTGAACCCCAATGCAGAATCGCAGCTTGTGTAATAAACACTGAAAGGTATAGGTGACTTCAAACTAATGTATTTAAAGCAAATGGCCAATATCCACTGGAACAGCGTGGTCTTAAATGTTGCTACCAAGGGACTCATCTAGACATCCATATCAGTAGCTTGTCTTCATATTCAAGAGCTTTCAGATGACAGCACTGCTGGAGGAGAGCCACGTGTGGCACCGACTCCCGGGAGCCTGATTTGTCAGTGCTGAGTCAGCCCTGATAGAAACCTTGCGCTCAGCACTTCTGAGGAGGCCAGCAATCTGCTCCGGTACGAGACTCCTTATCTGGACTAATTTCAGCATCCTCAGAGGTCTCCAGGAGGAAGGGCAAGGCATTCGCCCTAAACAGACAACAAGGCCTGAAGACAAAGCAGGACCACCGCAGGCTGGGCACAAGGGAAGCCTCTCCAACAGATATGGGCATGCACTGGTGGGGGGAGAATAAAAGGAAAAGTGGACTAAATCCGAAATGTACATTTCCTAATCGGCAGTATGGGTCACGACAATTTCACTGTGAGAAGTGATAGGAACGTGGAGATAAGCTGCAGCTACAGTTTAAGTTGGAAAATAAAGTTTTAAGGATACCAGAGCAGAATTAAAAGTTGCCCAATAATGCATTTTTTTAATACTTCTAAATTGTTTCTAGTCTTTCTGCCTATTTTATTCTGTTCTGGGACTTACAAACAGATGTAAGATATATCTGGAGCCTGAGGGTAATTGAAATTAATTGAAATGAAAAAGAAAATTTTTCATTTCAGACTCTGTATTGCATGATGAGAAATACACACACTTGGTGGAAGCAAAACATGAGAAAGATCACCCAATCTGTACCACTATTCATTACAACAGAAAAGATTTAGTTTTAAAACATGAAGAGCTGCCAAAAAAGGCAGTTGGTTCGGTTATGTTGGGTTAGCTACGCAAAATAAAACTGCAGAAGCTTAACATGGAGCTATCAGCAGACACTCATTTTTATTTAAAGCTGAAAATAGAGTATTTTCAATACTAAACACTTGAACATTTCTGGACACAAATCCATCAGGTTTACCTTTTAGCAGGGAGAAAATATGGACAGGGAAAGAAGCAAACCTGTCTAGACCAACTTTCTGAAAGCTGGCAGGGCGTTTTAAGCAGCTCTGCAGTTTGGAATATTATATTAATCCCAATGCAAGGCATCTGCGGAGAAATTATAGATGAGACAGCCAAAAGATATTAAAGTTATTAGTATTTCTCAAATATTAATAAGAGAAGAGCTGTCCCTTTTTTTGCAGTTTTTCCTCTAGATTTGGCCTACCCTTGCAGGCCAAAGCTGTAATAAAGGCACTTGCCATACTGACGCTGTGGGGATGTCTAAACACGATGGATTTAAGTGGTTTCAGTCCTAACTAAAGAAACTTCACAGGCTGAAGTAGAAGTGGGTCCCTCTTTGGGAAAATATTATAATAAAAGGCAAAGCAAACCTACAAGGCTGTGGCAAAGTACTGGACTTCATAAAAAAGCTACTAAGATGATAGTACCTTAGTAAGTACTAAGTAGCTACTAAGCTACTAAGGGAAGCTGGCATATTTAATAGGTAATTAAAAAAGTAAAAGACAGATTTAAGTGTTATGCAAAGCTCTGTCCTTTTATATCTTTACTTTCTTATGTATCCTAACATAAGTTAATAACAGCAAGCAGAAAAAAAAATCTAACATCTGATCAGGTTGAGATGGGGATTTTTCTGTTTGTTTTAAACAAATTCTAAGTAGTTGTTAGCATTTTCAACTGTAAAGCAAACAGCATGTTTTCACTCCAATCTGTGTAGATTCCAGCCCTCAAATTTTGTTAGCACATGGGAATGATCTAATTAATCTGACAGAGCTCCCACCTTCGGCATTTTTGGCCCTTCACTATCACTACACTTTAGATGCGTGCTTTGCCAGATCATAGCAAGAAACCTGGATTGGGGAAACAGCTGTCCCTCTGTGACATGTACCACTATCCAAGTGAAAGGTGAAAAAGGAGCAGCTGAAAAAAAAAAAAAAACCCACCACGAAAAAACAAACAAACAACAACAGAAAAAAAAAACCACAAAAAACCAAAACCACTTTATTTACTCTGCAAGCAAAGGCAAAACAAATTTGTGACCAGAGAATAATCTGCTCCAAAAGATTTTTGTATATATGGAAGCTAAAAGCCTGTTAGATAGTAACAGGTGAGCCAAGATTCATTCTGTAACAAGATACTTCAGAAGCCATACCTTAGATTAACTCCACATGAAAACTAAATTAAAATGTTTTACAGGAATTTTAAACGCAGAATTAGGGAAGAGATGAGAGGTAAATGAGAGAGAGGTCTTTCAGAGGTCTACAGGCACTGCCT